AGGTAATCCACTCACCTCAGCCTCCCAAAGGCACGGGATTACAGGCTGAGCCACCGAGCCTAGTCAAAACTGATTTTTAAAATGTGTGTAAAATCATAATAGAGACCATTTTCCAGCATCCCAAAAGGTTCTCTGATGTCCCTTCCCAATCCACACCCTTCACAAGTGGTAAACACTATTTTAACTTCTATCATCAAAGAATCGTTTTGTTTCTTCTTGAACCTCATGTAAATGGAATGTGATAGTATGTACTTTTGTGTTTCACTTTTTTGTTGTTCAATAGGTTTGTGAGATTCACCCACATTGTTCTGTAATTATTTGTTCATTCTTTTTTTTTTTTCTTCTTTTTTTTTGAGTAGGAATCCCACTGTTGCCCAGGCTGGAGTGCACTGGCACACTCACAGCCACTGCAGCCTTGATCTGCTGGGCTCAGGTGATGATCCTTCTGCCTCAGCCTTCCAAGTAGCTAAAACCACGGGCATGCACCACTATGCCTAGCTTATTTTTGGATTTATTGTAGAGATGAAGTCTCACTAGGTTGCCCAGACTGGTCTCGAACAGGAGTCAGGAAGTCTTCTTGCCTCTGCCTCCCAAAGTGCTGGGATTGCAGACTTGAGTCACTGCGCCCAGCTAATTCATTCTTTTTTTTTTTTTTTTTTGAGTTGGAGTCTCACTCTGTCACCCAGATTGGAGTGCAGTGGTTGTTCCTGGCCACCGCAGCCTCGACCTGCTGGGCTGCGGCGATCCTGCAGCCTCAGCCTTCTGAGTAACCGGAATTACAGGCGCGTGCTACCACGCCTGGCTAATTTTTTATTTATTGCAGAGATGAGGTCTCACCAAGTTGCCCAGGCGGGTCTCGACCCCGTGGGCTCAGGCAATCCACTCACCTCAGCCTTCCAAGGTGCGGGATTACAGGCTGAGCCACCAAGCCCGGCTCAAATTCATTCTTTTTTTAATGCCATGTAGTATTCCAGTTTGGAAACACACCACAATTTACTTATCAATTCCTTTGTTGATGGGCATTTGGAATGTTTCCAGGTTTTTTGGCTATTATGAATACAATTGCTACAAACATTCTTTCTTTTTTTTTGAGAAAGCATTTATTTATTGAGAGGTCAGAAAATCTCCCAGTACAGGAGGGTACCTGAGGAGGTTGCCCCAAACATTCTTTTTTTTTTTTTTAAGTTGGAGTCTCACTCTGTCGCCCAGACTGGAGTGCAGTGGCCGCTCCCGACCACTGCAGCCTCGACCTGCTGGGCTCCGGCGATCCTTCCGCCTCAGCCTTCCAAGTAGCCGGAATTACAGGCATGCGCTACCACGCCCGGCTGATTTTTTTATTTATTGTAGAGATGAGGTCTTGCTGCCCAGGTGGGTCTCGAACCCGCAGGCTCAGGCAATCCACTCACCTCAGCCTCCCAAAGGCGCGGGATTACAGGCTGAGCCACTGAGCCTGGCTGCCCCAAACATTCTTATATGTTTTTTTGAGTAGACATATGCACTCATTCCTTTTCCATAGAGACTTAGAAGTTAAACCGCTGGGAGACCAAACAGGAATAATTTATAAAAATCTTCTAAATATTCTAAATAATTAACATTCCTTTAAATACAATTAATCCTCCTTACATTTTTTTTTTTTTTAAGAAATGGGGTCAGGCCAGGTGCGATGACTCATGCCTATAATAATCCCAGCACTTTGGGAGACTGAGGTGCGATTGCCTGAGTCCAGGGGTTCAAGACTAGCTTAGGCAATTTGGTGAGACAGCGTCTCTACAAAAAATCAAAAAATCAGCTAAGTGTAGTGGCGCATGCCTATAGTTCCAGCTACTTGGAAGGCTGAGGTGGAAGGAACACCTGAGCCCAGCAGGTTGAGGATGCAGTGGCTATAAGCATGCCACTGCACTCCAGCCTGGGCAACAGAGTGAGACTCCAACTCAAAAAAAAAAAAAAAAAAAAAAAAGAAATGGGGTCTTGATCTGTTGCTCCAGCTGGAATACAAAGGTGTCATCACAGCTCACTGTACCTCAAACTCCTGGGCTTAAGCAATCCTTAGCCTCCTTAGCTACGACTAGAGGCATGTGTCACCATACCTGGCTAATTTTCTTAAATATATTTTTTTAGAGATGAGATCTTTCTTTGTCACCTAGACTGGCCTCAAACGTTTGGCCTCAAGTGATTCTCTTACCTCAGCCTCCCAAAGTAGCTGGGCCACATTATTTATATAACTAACAAATCAAAAGTTAATCTATCAATTAACATTTAGATTATCACTGGTGGGAAATTTTACCTTTTCCTTCAGTGGTGGGGAACAGGGACTAGAGGCAGGACTGTCAGGTGGTGATGAGTCTACCTCCACTGGCTCCTCTTCTTTGATTTTGATGTCTGGTGTGGAAGGCAGAGACATGTCAAGAGGCCCAGCAGCAGTCTGTTATGATAGAGAAGTGAACAGAGTTTAATCCTATGATTCCCTTCAGGTTGAATCTATATATTTCCAGTTACAAAATGAGGGAACAGTTATCTAAGAAGTTCAGCTCCTGTCAAAGCACTGACGTCAAAGACATGTGAATCCTTTGTTTTATGCACAACTCGGGTCAAATCATTTTAACTTCTCAGGGTTTCTGTTACCCTAACTGCAAAATGAAGATAACCAACTGCTTCACCAGTGGCAAACAAATACAAAGACCTGAAAAAAAAAGATGTCATTTAAATCCATTCAAATGTTATGATTATAATCTTCCCTTTTTCTCTTTTTTTTGAGTAGGAGTCTCACTCTGTCACTCAGGCTGAAGTGCAGTGGCAGACTCATGGCCACCGCAACCTCAACCTGCTGGGCTCAGGCAATCCTTCCATTTCAGCCTTCCAAGTAGCTGGAACTACAGGCGTACGCCACCACACCTGGCTAATTTTTTTTTTTTTTTTGAGTTGGAGTCTCATTCTGTCGCCCAGACTGGAGTGCAGTGGCCGCTCCCGGCCACCGCATCCTTGACCTGCTGGGCTCCAGCGATCCTTCCACTCAGCCTTCCAAGTAGCTGGAACTACAGGTGCGCGCTACCACACCCGGCTAATTTTTTGATTTATTGTAGAGATGAGGTCTCGCCTGTCCAGGCGGGTCTCCAACCTGCAATCCACTCACCTCAGCCTCCCAAAGGCATGGGATTACAGGCTGAGCCACCGAACCCGGCTAATTTTTAAAATTTATTATAGAGACAAGGTCTCACCACGTTGCCCAAGCTGATCTCGAATCCCTGGGCTCAGGCAATCCTCTCACTTTAGTCTCCCAAGGTGCTGGGATTACAGGCATGAGCCACCATGCCTGGCTGATTATGATCTTTTTTTTTTTTTTTTTTTTTAAGTTGGAGTCTCACTCTGTTGCCCAGACTGGAGTGCAGTGGCCGCTCCCGGCCACCGCAGCCTCGACCTGCTGGGCTCCGGCGATCCTTCAGCCTCAGCCTTCCAAGTAGCTGGAACTACAGGCGTGCGCTACCATGCACGGTTTATTTTTTGATTTATTGTAGAGATGAGGTCTCGCCAAGTTGCCCAGGCAGGTCTCGAACCCGCGGCCTCAGTCAATCCACTCACTTCAGCCTCCCAAAGGCACGAGATTACAGGCTGAGCCACTGAGCCCCGCTTGATTATGATCTTTTTAAGGAGAGCAAGATGATCCCTGAATCTGCCAGCTACTGGAGAGCTGTGAACACTTCTCTGCCAACCAGAATGACAAGATTACCCAATTATCAAATGTAAATGAAGACAAATTGGCTATTAAGGTACTGAGAACAAGACAGAAAAGGTCTTTTCTGGAGAACTTGCCATGCTTGGTGGTGATCTTGTCCCAAACTCTGGTGCTAGAGGCTAGAAGTTTCAGGCAGATAGGAATTTGGGGGTAACAAACAAAGGAAAAGTTGATCATCTGATCAATGAAATAAATTAGAACTTGGTTTTAGGAGCAGGGCTGGAGAAAACCAGAAAGTAAAGAGAGTACTTTCCTGGCAGCGGTGCAATCACCCCACAGAACTGTGGAGCTGTAAATGGCCTTGCAGGGAACAATAAACTATCTGAGATAACAGCCCCAACACTGCACCATGACAGAAGGGTTGGCACTACAGTTCGGTTTCATGACAAAGTAGATCCTTTGTTCTATTCTTCTCATATCCTGGGCTTTTTGGTGAAAGAGGCACTTGTTTCTAACTCTTCTCTTGCTACCTTAATCCCTAGAAACCTGGAGGGCTAACTGAGTAAACTAAAGATAATCTGGCATCCACTCTATTAGAGAAGGTGGTAATGGTGCTTTCTCCCCAATCTGATGAGGGCAAGCAACAACAAGGACTGCTTCATTTTTTTCTACTCTGCTAAAATGTCAGGCCCCATTTAGCTAATTCTGAGAACTCTGAAGTCAGAGATTGGTGGGAAGGAGAAGCCTCTAAGTAAATACAACCACAGGTTTAAAATCCGCCTGGGGCATCTCCTAGAAAAGCTGTGATTCAGGAACATTTCATGCTCACTAAGCACTCCTGGAGACAATCTTCCATTAAGGCTGTGCCTCCCTAGCAAGGGGAGGTCAAGGCCACTCCTGCATAGGCAGGAAGAAATACCAAGGGATGTCGAATGAGGAAGACCAACTATGAACTAGCCTCCTGGAAGTGTCAACTGATCTAAAATGACAGTGGAGAAGACTTAAACTTTTTAAAGGGAGGCTAGGTTTTTTGAATTTGCCTATGATGAGTTTAGCATAAAATCCCTTACATGCTGGTGGAAACAATTTGACTACTTTGTTTGCGGGGAAAGAAAAATGGCAGGGGAAGTGGGGTAGGGAAGCAGTAGAATAAATTATACCACATAGATTAGGCAGCTGGGTCTCTCTAAGAAAAAGAATGATGAAAAACTGTGGCTAGTTCTGCCACTTAAATGTAGAACTACAACTATATGCCACTGAATGTCTCTACCTTCTTTCAAGTTGAGGAAGACAGCATTAAAAAAAAGTTCATAGAAACCTATGGAGTTTGGAAAAAACTCCAGTGATAAAGACACTTGTCTTGCATTCTTACAATTCAAGCTGGTTGTAAAAATCATGCATAACTATCTTGCTATCTCCTTCTTAGAAGGAAAGAGCTCCCATGAAAAGTTTTTTTATGTCCCAACTTTTCTATATTCTTATGAAATTCCATGTCTCACTACACTGTACAATTGTGAAATAAATGTATTTACATATATATGTATGTTTTGGGACAGTGATATTGGAATCTTTTCTGATTCCAGAAAAATCGAGAACATAGAACTGATTTTAAATAGTGACCAATAACCCAGAATTCTAATTCCAAAGTAAACTTTGATCTTTCCTTTTTTTCTCCCCCCTCCAAAGCCCATGTTGCATGGGAACTATCTTCCTTAGACCCTGCTTCTCTAGGGCTCTGAAATATATAAAGACTAAAATCAGAGAATCACAGTACCTCAGGATTAGAAGGGATCCTAAAATGCGAATCCTCTCTGCAATATCTCTACTCAGTGGCCTACACAGAATTGAACACATTTTGTAAGAGCCAGTAGTCCTCCATCTATCTTTGGGCCACACAGAATACATTTAATTGCTCTTTTATATGAAAACCTTTCATGTATTTAAAGACTGCAATGTTGTTAACACTAAATCTTTTCCAAGCAAAACTTCCTTACTTTCTTTAAACGTTCCTGAAACAACAATTTCTAGTTATTTCACCATCCTGGTTGATCTCCTTTGAAAGACATTAAGAACTTCCTTCTTTTTTTTTTTGAATCAGGGTCTCACTGTCACCCAGGCTGGAGTGCAGTGGCATGATCACAGCTCGCTACAGCTTTGATATTTTCAGCTCAGGGATCCTTTTGCCTCAGCCTTCTAAGTAGCTGGGATTATTGGCGTGTGCCACCACACCTGTCTAATTTTTTAATTACTTTTTGTAGAGACAAGGTCTTGCTATGCTTCCCAGGCTGTTCATGAACTCCTGGGCTTAAGTAATCCTCCTGCCTCAGCCTCCCAAAGTGCTGGGATTACAGGCATGAGTCACTGCACCTGCCCCCTTCTTTAGCTTTAATGCTTTGAATAATAGTAGGAAACTACTTGAAGGCAAGAACCATATATACTGAAACAAAGAAGAGTGGAAATTCAATAAATGTTTGTTGACTGGCTGACTGAATAAAAATAGTCCAGGTGAGAAGTCTGATCAGCTTAGAACATAGTGGGATTTGGCAACAAAAATGTTATCTAACAAATCTAAGTGATTTATAATATTTTAACGTCAGTAACATATTTATAACAGTAATAATTTTTACAAAACAGATTACTGAACTAATGCTCCACTGGAATGGTGAAGAAAGGCTTGTGCTGATCCATCACCTGGAAACTGTAAAGACCTGGATGGCAGACTAGGATTGGTGAGTACTATCTGGCTCTATAGAACCAAGTCCATGATTTTTGTGCTTTAACCAGTCATGCAAATTATCCCAAGGCACAGTGAAAAAAAAAAAAAAAAGCCTAGGTCTGAATACCACCAGTTTTTTGGCAAAAGTCCCATTTCTTGCCTTTTTCTCATCCTCATCTGCAGCTTTCTTGAATTCATGTTCAAAGGAGCTAGCTAGTTCATTGAAGAGCCCCACCTCCTCACAGTTCTTCAGGAATCTAGTTGGAGTAGGAGTTTGATCTGTAGACATGAAAGAAAAGGAAACTCAGTTTAAGTTTTTTATTTTTATTTTTATTTTTGAGTAGGATTCTCACTCTGTTGCCCAGGCAGGAGTGCAGTGGCACGCTCATGGCCATTGCAGCCTTGATCTGCTTGGGTTCGGGTGATCCTTCCCCCTCCAGTTTAAGTCTGACCTGAAATTATAACTTGAAAACATATAGAGAATACATTTTTATTCTGTTTGGAGACAGAGTCTCCGTTTTCGGGCACATTTGTTTTAATGGAGCTCAAGCAGGCGAAGGCTAGTGCTAGGCCACCAGAGGGTGCCTGTGCTGTGTTGCCTCAAAGTCAGCAGGGGAAAGACAGAACAGTTTTGTTGTGTGACTATCCTTTCTCTCAGTGCTGGTTTTACCTCCTTCACCCTCAAACAAAACAAACAAAGTCACACATGTAGGTGACACAATTTTGTGAAACCTCCAGATTTGAATATCAAGTAAAGTTATATCATCTTTTTAAAATGTTTCCCTGCTAGGTCTGGAGTGAGCATATATAAGCAGATGGATGTTAAAATCTGACGAGGAGAAGAAACTGAGGATCAAGTGGTTGAGTTTGCTTGCTAAAGCTATCAGATGAGAAATGGTGCCTTGTCTTTCAGTGGTCACTGAAGTATGGTCTGTTATCTTCTGAAGGTATTCTGGGCAAATCGAGGGGCTGGGAAACAAGACAGCAAGATCATAACCTAGAAAAGGAAACTGCAAACAATAGAGCTAATTTCACAGAGACCTGGGCCCAGAGCAAATTCAGGAAACCAGGATATTTGGATTTAGACTTGTTAGTCAAAATATCCCCATAGGGGTTGCACAAATCTCTCCAAAATACAGTGCCTCTGCCCTTGACAAGAGGAACGCTCTTGGTAACCCATGGGAACTCTTTTTTTTGAGTTAGAGTCTCACTCTGTTGCCCAGGCTGGAGTGCAGTGGCACACTCATGGCCACCATAGCCTTGACCTGCTGGGCTCAGGCGATCCTTCTGCCTCAGCCTTCCAAGTAGTTTGGAACTATAGGCACACACCACCACGCCCAGCTAATTTTTGATTTATTGTAGAGATGAGGTCTCGCCAAGTTGCTTAGGTTGGTCTCCAACCCGTGGGCTCAGGCAACCCTCTCATCCTGGCCTCCCAAAGTGCTGGGATTATAGGCATGAGCCACCGCACTGACAACCATGGAAACTTTTTAAGTGACTTGAATTTCAGATTAGAGCTTCTCACTCCCAATCCTGCTTTTTAAAGAGTTGAATCTTGTTCACTGACTCTAACTCTATTATGATAGCTTTCACTGACATGCTAGTCACCTCAGGGATTTATCTCAGACCCCAAAGCACTAGACTGAGTGACAGAAACAGAGAACAATGTTTAAATGATATTTTAAAGAGTGAAACCGTTGGGAGGCTGAGGTGAGTGGATTGCCTGAGCCCGCGGGTTCAAGACCCACCTGGGCAACTTGGCGAGACCTCATCTCTACAATAAATCAAAATGAGCCGGGCGTGGTAGCGCGTGCCTGTAGTTTCAGCCTTGGGTTTAAATCACTCTTTCTTTCTTTTTTTTTTTTGAGTTGGAGTCTCACTCTGTCGCCCAGACTGGAG